GGACGATTTGACATGTTTCCACATCTGAGTGAAACATTGGAAGCCTCTTCTCATGTGAACATATCAAGTGGCATAACCCAGCACTAGTCTCAGCCGTCTCAAAAGTTTGTTGACTACTTCCCAGAGGACCCTCGACATGGAAACCTTTGGATTTTGAACCCATTTACTGTGGATCCTGCTTCAGAAGACATGGCTCTGTCCACTGTGTTGGAAAATGAACTAATGGAACTATCAGCTGACAGTAGCCTGAAACTTCAACTCACACAAGTTGACCTTGCTTCATTTTGGTTACTGGCTGCAAGTGAATATCCCTCTGTCAAAGCGGGCAATCAAATTTCTATTGCCTTTCACCACCACATACTTATATGAGTCAGGGTTCTCCACTGTGACTATCACAAAATTAAAAGCAAGGAGCAAACTGAAAGCTACTTTGGATGCTACTCTCCGTGTCAGTCTCTCACCCATTTCACCAAGACTTGATCTTATTATCTCCAAGAAGCAAGCCCAAGTGTCTCACTGAGGGTATGCAGAATATGCATTTTGTAGCAAGGTTTGTCTCAGTATATATGGTTTTTCTCATGTTAACTACTCAAACCCGTTCATGTAAATATGTTAATGTGTTGGGATTTATTAATGGTCCTAAAGTGGTTGTTGATGAAAACTATGTTATTGACATGTGACACACCTGTTAGACTTAATCATTTTTGGATGTGTGGGAAGGGGTATAAGTAACGTTTCCAGTTTTTCTCAAGTTGAATTGTAAAAAAAGTAATAATAATACATGTAACATTTACGTAATGCTTCAAGTTTGTTTAATATGTAAGATTGTTTTAAACAGTCATGTTCATATCGCTAATTGTATTTGATAAATTACACTTACAGTTTGTAAATTGAGGTGAATGAACTTTGTTGAACATTTCTGCTAATGAATAGAGAGAATGTTCCCCTCTTGTGTGTCTGACCTGTTGTTACAGGTATGTTAGCCTGGATGTGGGGATGTATTATTAATTTGTTAGTAATTTGTTAAAAGAGTTTTCCCCTTGTGTCTGACCCAGTCATTGGTCTGACCTGCCCTGTTATTGTTACAGGAATAAATGATTACTGAGTAAACCTGCCAAGTCTTTTTTATACAAGGAGAGTTACATCGATGTAGCTGACCTAGTCTGCTACAGTGGCATAACAGATTAACAGCAGAGTATATCATGTTCTTTTTGAATTTTCTGTTATTCTGTGTTCATACTATCATATTTGGAAAGGTGGTCCTCGGAATGTTTTTAAACAGTCATTGGTGGGCCATGAGTTGCAAAAGGTTGAGAACCCCTGGTGTAGTGTATGGTATACGCAGGCATATGGCGTATACCCACTTCTTTACCAGTCGGCTTTGCACAAAACCATGACAGTCCACTACATGAATAGCTAATCCAATCGCATTAAAGGGTCTAAAGAGGTGTTTGTGTTGCACATCATAGAAAACAATGTTAGCATCCAATAATTTTAACTGTTGGGGAAAAGTGGTTAATTTTAAGCTTTTTTGTGCTATTTTCATCTTCCGGGTTTAAAATCTACATCGTGTTGACGTCACAATTTGTGACGTGGCAATGGACTATAGTACATCGATGACGTGTTGGTGTCTATTAAATTATTCATGAATCTGCGTGTTCTTATCCTATGAGAAGCAGTGTTAATTTCGTTGACGAATAATTTTCAACAACGGCATTTTTTTCACCGACGATAACAAACTAAAACTCTTTTTGAATGACAAGAATAAACAAATTTTCACACGAATTTTAAAACGAATTTATTCGACGTCAACGAATAAAAACGAGACGAAAATGTTAAGGGAGGGACGATTTGGGAAGAGATTCATTCAGAACTATTCTTCTGCGTGGTTCGGAGGTTAGATGCGTACATATGAACCGACGGCACATAAGCTAACATACACTTGCTGCACGTCGCATAAAACGTTCAAAAATGTCAATATGTGGGAGTAAGAGAAATACAGACATATGGATAAATCTGATGACGCAAGAGAGAACTCAATTCGGTTCGGTTTTCTGAGCGCAGACACTGAAGCATACACACACACAAAGCGCGTCTCTTTCACGTCGCATGAACAGAGAATTACACACGAAATGATGTCTGTTTTAACGAATTGTCTGTTTTGACGAGTATTCACGTAAACACAGTTGATTATGTCTTAAGTGAACGTAAACAGTAGGGAGAACGTGTATCAGTACATTGCATCCATTGCAGCTGTGCATTCGGTTTTAAAGGGTTAGTTCACCCAAACATTCTGTCATTAATTACTCACCCTCGTGTCGTTTCAAACCCGTAAGACCTTTGTTCATCTTCAGAACACAAATGAAGATATTTTTGATAGAATCTGAGAGCTGTCTGACCCTGCATAGACAGCAACGCAACTGAAATGTTCCCAAGTCCAGAAACGTAGCAAGGAGATCTGTAAAATAATCCATGTGACATCAGTGGTTCATCCGCAATTATACGAAGCTACGAGAATACTTTTTGTGCACAAAAGAAAAAAAAAGTACGACTTCATTCAATAATTCATCTCCTCCGCATTACCCTGGTGCCATTTTGGAGAATATCCGCTGGACGTAAAAGAACACATGCTGTTCTGTGTCAGCTGCGTCACGCCAGATCTGTTTCCTACGTTGTTGTGATTTGATCTGAACGGAACGATTGCCGACAGTGACAGAGATGCTGCCTGTTCATGCGTGACAGCATGTCAGGGGAGGCGCGCAGAGTGGTAAAATAATAGTTATATAATAATGAATATTCATTAAAAAATTTGCTTAACGGCATAGTTCACCCCCACACAAAAATAAATTGCTTTTAATTTACTCGGCCTCAGGACATTCAAGGTGTAGGGGACTTTTTTTCTTCAGTAGAACAGTTTTTTAGCCGAAAGGTCCTTGTTGATTCATAAAATGCAAGTCAGTGGCTACTGTCCCTTTGAGAGTCAAAAAGCTTATCAAGCAACACAAAATTAATACCTGTGGCTCCTGACGATATGTTGAGGTCTTATGAAGCGAAACAATCAGTCTGTGCAAGAAACTGCTTTAATTATTTACAACATTTTTACCTGTAATCTATAGTCTCAGCCAGAGTGATGTCCGGTTTATGAATGAATCATTCTTTTGAAGATGTTTTTGTTAGTGAACTAGATAAACCAGTTCACCCAATTGCAGTGAACTGTCTAAACCTGTTTGCGGCTTGAGCAAGATTGCATTTATTTGTGTTAAATTATTTTTAAAGATTAACTTTAAGTGAGCATTAGATGGTGACAAAGGTAGTATAAAAAATAGCAGAAATAAGATTTAACAATTACTCATACAACATTAGCCAATAATAAAAAAGACCATGTAAAACTGACGTGATTCCAATTTATTGTGCATTATGACTAGAAATGTATCTAATTTATCTGTGCAACTTTCTGTTTCTGACACCTGCTTTTCACCGAGATGACAGGCCGTTTCAACAGTATTTAAATGTTTTTAAGCAGCTGTTTGGCTTTTAGTATTTGCTATGATGTTTATCAAGCAAGACCAAATACAAGAGTACAAGGACAAGAGAGCTGTTTCTGTATTCAGTTGTCCGGTCTATAGACTGTCCATGAGTGCCATCAAGTCATAATTTTAAGGAACAGCAGCAAAACTGTGCATGTGTCCAAGTGCAAATCTTATGAATTGGCAAATTTTCTTTGCAGTGTGAAAGTAGATTAAAACAACTCTTGACAGCATGCAAACTCACGATGGTCTAAATCGATGTTTTGTCAGTTGTTAATTCAAAATGTTAATTGCATCAAATTTTTTAACTGAATATTAGTCTTGGCACGTCATAATGCTCATAACCTTTGTTTTTTTTGTTTTTTTCAGGCAACCCCTACCCGTACCAACCTCCACAGTATGTCTCTCCCCGCTACATCCGTAATCCGCCTCCTCCGGGTGAGCCACCTTACCCAGAGTCCTACCCGGGATATGGCCCAGATCGCCAATATCCGAGCCACCACTCTGGACCCCCTTTCTCTGCCCACACATATGCACAGCCCTCCCATTACAGTCGCAGACACGGACACTATCCTGCACCCCCACCTCCGTTTGCCCCGACCAGGGACGACTTGGTCAGGATGAGCCCGGTTCCTTTGGACGTTCCCCCGGCCGCTATGCCTCCACCTCCAGCAGGTCCTGCAGGTTCTCTGTACCACTCCCAGGAACTGTCATCCAGAGACAGATACCCACCTGACGAGTACTACACACACCCCAGCCAAATGAGGTCCCACATAGGAGTGAGTTCTGTTCTTCTCAAGGTTTTGGCATTCTAAACAGTAGTTCCTCTTGTTTGATATGCATGCCTATAAACATTTGTTGTTTACAAATAAGGTTTGTTAATTAACATGATTTTAGTATTATGTTTAGTATAATATTTATTGCTCTTTTTCCACACATTATGACTATATAATTACTATTTTATTATAAATATGACTATAATACAAAAAATAAAACTTCAACTTATTTTTTCAGGTCCCAAGAAAACAATATAATAGCGTATCATCTTTATTGTGTGTGTGTGGAATAATTAAGATAATTAAAAACATTTAAAAAAAATCAGCTTAAGCCCCATTGTCCCAATAATAACGATAAAGTCTAGTTGTTGACACATTTCTGTGTGCGACATCGTGGAAGGCAGATGTGAAATTGAGGAGTAGCCTATATCGCTAAATGAGGAGCTTGAGATCCTTTTACAATCTGTAACTGGTTTGGTTATTGGTTAGTGGTTTCATATTACAGAATGATAGTATTATATACAGTGATAAAGGCCATGTCGATTAACATTGCATTATAAATATACTTTCCTTATAAAAATACCCAAGATTGAAGAACACAGATAAACCATATATTTTGTGCAATCGTATGTTTATTTTCCTCAAGTTTCATCAGTTATTGAGATCCTTTTACAATCTGTAACTGGTTTGGTTATTGGTTAGTGGTTTCATATTACAGAATGATAGTATTATATACAGTGATAAAGGCCATGTCGATTAACATTGCATTATAAATATACTTTCCTTATAAAAATACCCAAGATTGAAGAACACAGATAAACCATATATTTTGTGCAATCGTATGTTTATTTTCCTCAAGTTTGATCAGTTAAAATGTCTCTTATCGCCGTTGTGCGTTTTATTCAGCGATAACTGGATACCTTCCTGGAGCGTCGACAGTAGTATTCTGCTATGGATATGTGGAGTTTCTGTGCAAGAGCGCCCTCCGGCTTCCAGTATGAATTAAACAGTCTTTATATTACGTGTGTACTCATTAATGCTCACAACACCCTATTTTGGGTAAAAATAGGGAAGATAATACTTCTCTCTAAAGAAATTTGAAGTAAACGTGCAAATCCATACGTTTTTCTCTAGTGTTTTACCACCTCAAGAGGTTTCATTAATGTTAAAATATACCTCATAGTCATGTTATTTTATTTTTTTCCCAGAATTGTTAATGCATTAACTTAAAATGAACTAGCAGTGAGAGATTCATTTGTTACAACATTGACTAATCTTTGTTAACATTAGTTACAACTAGTGGTTGACCGATATGGGTTTTTTGACAGCCAGTGCTGATATCTTGGAAAGCAGGGTGGCCAATATAAAGCCGATATAATTTAATTATTTTAATTAATATTTAAGAAATTTGAAATCATTTGAAAATTTATTTAAAAATAAATGTCTTAAACATACTTATACTTTAGATGACAAAGTATTTTTTATAAATAAATATTTAATAAAGAGCGCCCTCCGGCTTCCAGTATGAATTAAACAGTCTTTATATTACGTGTGTACTCATTAATGCTCACAACACCCTATTTTGGGTAAAAATAGGGAAGATAATACTTTTCTCTAAAGAAACAGGATTCCCTGAATTATCGCCATTGATATCGTTATCGCAATAAATACCAGAAATATCGTGATATATTTTTAAGCCCATATCGCCCATCCCTAGTAGCCAATTCAAACTGAAACAGGAGCCATTGCTTTGATTGTATATTTTAGATTGGCAAGACTTTTATTAGTCTATCTACTGACTGGTTGTTCATTTCATGTAATGAATGAGTAATAGTACTCTTATACATTCAAATACTTTACAGAAAATGAGCTAATGTATTTCTGGATCATTATAGAATGATTCTGCAATTTGTTCTGCTCCTAGATGGTTAATTTTAGGGGTAAAATTGTTTATTTTATTTTTTTCCCAGAATTGTTAATGCATTAACTTAAAATGAACTAGCAGTGAGAGATTCATTTGTTACAACATTGACTAATCTTTGTTAACATTAGTTACAACTAGTGGTTGACCGATATGGGTTTTTTGACAGCCAGTGCTGATATCTTGGAAAGCAGGGTGGCCGATATAAAGCCGATATAATTTTATTTATTTTAATTCATATTTAAGAAATTTGAAATCATTTGAAAATTTATTAAAAAATAAATGTCTTAAACATACTTATACTTTAAGATGGTTAATTTTAGGGGTAAAATTGTTAATTTTATTTTATTTTTTCCCCAGAATTGTTAATGCGTTAACTTAAAATGAACTAACAGTGAGAGATTCATTTGTTACAACATTGACTAATCTTTGTTAACATTAGTTACAACTAGTGGTTGACCGATATGGGTTTTTTGACAGCCAGTGCTGATATCTTGGAAAGCAGGGTGGCCGATATAAAGCCGATATAATTTTATTTATTTTAATTCATATTTAAGAAATTTGAAATCATTTGAAAATTTATTAAAAAATAAATGTCTTAAACATACTTATACTTTAGATGACAAAGTATTTTTCATAAATAAATATTTAATACAAATATAATTAAAAAGGAAGTAAACATTGTAACCAACAGGGCACTCAGTATTCTGGGAAGTTTGTGTGCATTAATCATATTTTTTCAAATAAAACCAAGGTAACACTCATTTTACATACAGCACACAGTGTAAATTACATTAATATGACATTGGGCAAAAGCATTGAAGCGCAACATAATTAAAAAATCACGAGTTTAAAGTTTCTTGATTGCGCGTCTCCAGTGAAGCTGAACTTCATTTTTCTTACTTGAATGCTTTTTAGATGTAAAATGAAGAAAGTACTACACTACACTTGTTTCTTTCTTATGTTTGTTCTTTTTTTTTTTTGCATCTGTTCTTATTTATAACGACAAAGATAAAATAAAAAAGCTATAATGTAGGGATGCATGATATTGGATTTTTGCCGATATGCCGATAATTTTCAACTCATTTTGGCCGATAGCCGATATATAATTATTTTTAATTTTGGTTAGTTTAAAACAAGAACTTATTTGTTAGAATTAAATAAACAATAAATAAGTTATTTTATAATGATTGAAGATTTGAAAATAACTATAAATAAGCTATATATTAATCACTGAATTTTTTTCAGTGGTAACCTTAACATTTTATTTTATGATTTAACATTTGTAAATGGTCTAAAGCAAAAGAGTGTTAAAAATTCTGAAAATCTTTTAGAGTTCATAATTTGTTTAAAAAATATAACATATTACACATTAATGAATAAATCGGTATATATAAAATTAATTTGTGTCATGTATGTTTTTTTTTTTGTTCATGTAAGCTATAGCTTCTGACCTTTAAATCAAACCATAAAACCTCATAAAGTGACATTTTCATGCCATGGGACCTTTAATAAACTTTTTTTTTTTTTATCCATTTTATACAATCCGCCTTCAGTTAGCAAGTGCACTTGTGCATAAACAATTTTCAAGTTCAACACTTTTTGTTCCGTTTAGTTGTAGATGCTGCTGATTTACCGAGACCGTCGCGGCTCAGCAAAGAGACATGCGTGCGTGTGTGTTCCTTTCTGAAAATGGATGCATTTTTCCTTACAAATTGTATTATCAGCATAACAATTCGAGTAAATATGTAAAAGGTATGGCATGATGCCATCCTTCTAGAACAATGTGCATTTATGTTAAAATTGTAACATAAATTATAACGTTTAGCTATTTTTATTTCTTTATTGCAAAACGCTAAAAACTGGCACCGTTTTGGAGAAATGGGCTCTCATTTGAACCCATATCATGGTGTGTGATGCTGAACTATGAGTTTCTAATGGTGTTTGTATTTGCACTGTTCTATACATTAATATTTTATGTGCAACAACAGCATGCTGTCTCAGTGGCCTAAAGGCCCGTTCACACCAAGGACGAGGAACGATATGGTTGTGATCACTTTCAAAATGATTTTTTTTCCAGCCGACGATGAACGATAAAACACTGACAGCCAATCAGAATCCATCCTGCTGTAACGAGCTCAAGAATTTAAAGCGGCAGACGCACATGTGCTTAGAATAAACAGACGATATCTTTCGCTGGTATGGACGCTAATATCGTTATCTTTATAGTTATCGTTCTTGGTGTGAACGGAACTTTACACATAATTTTAAATCTATTTTTTCAAACTTTGATTGAAATGGGGATGATTGTACTGAGAATAACTTTCATCTTTTCTTCAACTGAATACTGTTTCTGTGCTGTTTTGATGTATTTTAAAGAGTTGGCAGTCAAAATTAAAACTGCTGGATGAAAGATATTCTTCATTCTTTATGACAAATAAGATAATGTGAATTACAGAATGTAAAAAGTTTTTAAAATATATAAATTGCGGTGTACAGCGTTTATTATGAGGGGGTAGAATCCACAGCTCAGTACTCACTACTCAATACTCATGAGTACTTTTAAATAGGCTACTCTTTTACTCTTACTCAAGTAGTTTTTTGGACAAGTACTTTTACTCTACTCACACTACATTTTTTGGAAGGTAATGGTACTTTTACTTGAGTATATTTTTTCAGTAATCTTTCCACCACTGCTTACCACACATTTTACAAGATGTTTGTCAGTGGTGCTCAGGATCTGCAAATCAAATATCGCCCAATCAGTCATCTCTACTAATTCTGTTTATGTGGTAAGTGAAATTTTAATAAGTTCTGTAATGTAACAGGCAACTGCTAGCAAGCGGCTAACCATGTCCCTTTAGTGGCTCCATAGAACGCGTTGTTCGTTTTCCTGCCTTTCCGAATACAGATTCACAATTCGGGCACATCCCTACTTCCCATAATGACAAAAGACCAATAATGAATATAATATTTCTTTTTCCAGACACTTGCCCTCACTGAAGTTGGGTCAGGATGTATTTGTTTTTCCTCCATTGTTGTTGCTGTTTTGTTCCGATAACATCATGTTATTATTATATTTACTAGAAAATAGATTTTTAAAATTTGTGAATCGATGCGAATCGCTAGAAGGCTGAAACGCGATTTGTATGTGAATCAAAAAAAATGTTCCCCCACCCTTAGGAATTATGTTCTGCCAGTCTTCAAGAATAATCAGTAGAGATCATGATTTGATTCAGGATCACTTAAATTGTTAATTGTTGGAGTATATTTGGTGTATTTGGTTCAAGAAGTGACACTGAATCAGACTTTATGCTACTGATTCAAGGTGCAGTCATATTTAAAAAAAAAAATTTTTTTTTTAAATCCAGTAATTTCAAAAGGAATCCATCCGTTTAGGGTGTAAGATTTCCACGTAGAAATTGCAACAATAATTTACAATTTTGCCAACAATTTTTTGCAGAATTTTTGCCATGTTTAGACTTTCATAGTGTTAAACATTTGTGGAAATGTTTTGTTTTTGGTAAATTGTGTTTTCCTCAAAGCAGACTATCCATATGGAAACCACAGCGGATGGGGTGGAGCGTCGTACCCTCAGCACCAGAGCATCAACTCTCAGGGACACTTCAGCGAGCGGTACTTAACCTTTCCTCTTGCACTTCCACACCAGTGTTCATCTCACCAATGAAATGACTAACAAAAATGTTTGGGAATACTGTTTTTTTTTTTTATTAAAATGTTGTCATTGATAAAAGATGAATCATGACAATACTAGATTTTTTAAAATTAAAACATAATACTATATCAAATACCCCATAATAAGGTTTAGGCAATGTATGATTTAATTTGAGAATACAAAACATGATTACTTCCTGTGTTTTGCCAGTCTGCCCGTGTCTGCCCCTGACCGCGAGCAGCTCAAGATTGAGCTCCAGCAAGTCAACCAACAGATCAGTCAGCAAACCCGCAGCATGGAGGTGTGTTTGAAATCTCCATCCAAATTCACAACTCCCAATGCATGGCCTTGTCTATAGTCAGTAATATTAATAAACATCTTGCGTACGCACACAGGCTGCCAGTAACTCTATGCTCCTGCAGAGGGAGGCGTGTGCGCTGGCGTCTCAGCCCGCGGCTGGAGTGAAGTGGTCTTCAGGTGGCACTGTGTCCAGTGAGCAGCTCAGCCTGGAGCTTGATCATGTAGAGCTGGAGATCAAGAAGAGAACCCGTGAAATCGCCATGGTGAGTGAAACCAGAAACTCCTTGGCCAGGACCGGTTTTTATTTATTCTCATATGAACAGCCTAAGCTCATTGAACCTGTTTCCATGATTGAAGGAGAATCAGGTGGCCCATGAATACAAGCTGAAGGCCACTGAGAATGGGCAGCCTGACCGTAAAGCCCAGCTGGAGGAACTCTCTTTAGCATTGGGGTGAGTGAAGAGACTTTGTTACTAGCTTTTTAAGAGGCCGTTCGCACACAATGTTTTTACGTTTTATTTCTCACCAGGGGTGTCCAAACCTGCTGCTGGAGGGCCACTGTCCTGCAGAGTTTAGCTCCAACCCTAATTAAACACACGTGAACCAGCTATTCAAAGACTTCTGATAGACTAGAAACAGAGAGTGTGTCTCAATCCGCTCCTTAGTTCAGCACTCAGGGAACTGATCAGGCAGTTGGCCATTTTAAGGGGCTGTCTGACACTGGAACGTTCACTCCCTGAAAAATCCCACAATGCACTGCCAAAACCCATGGAGCATCTATGCTCCCTTGCAGGAAATTACATCACATTTCTGATGCATTAAACCTAAGATGCATAAGCCATCTCAATAAATATGACATGCAATAGAAGATTTGAAGACAGAAAAAATGTCTCATATTTGTCTGCACAACCACTAACAATCAGATGCTTTTCCTTTAAGCAACTTGCAGATATCTAATTCTGTTAAATTAAGGTACAGTAAATTTGTACGGTTATGTTCATATGAGCATTTTCATTTTGCACAGCTGGTCCTTCACTACTCTGTAATACATCATGCATTTTGCGCGGCTTCAGTTGTGGCCCAATCGTGATAATGCACTGAATCACAATAGCCGCGTTTCCAATGTTGGGCCAAAAGTGGGCGTGCTAGTGCGTGCCAGGACCAGTCGCGTTTCCACTGTCATTTCCGGGGCTTGATCGTGCCTCGTTGGTGCTTCCTCGGGGCCAACGGCCCGGGTTGTTTGGCCTGACGAAAACCTTGGGCCAAAGCGGGCCAACTGGGGCTAAAGGAGTGGTTACGAACAAAGGCGGAGTTTCTCCGCGTCTGGAGAGTGTCAGCGCCGTGGATCATTTCATAAAGTTAACAGCTATAACACCAGCATTAGATACTTTTAAAATAAATTGAGCTCAAAACTCACTTTCAGACAGCAGCGAGTGTTTGAAATAACTTGATCCGATGTGGATTATGATCCCCCATACAAGGCAGAAATATTTATAAGCGATGCAAAAGACTATGTACGCTTGCCATTAACGTTACCATAGTAAACATGGTAAATACGACCGCTTGAAGAAATCAGACGTCAGCTTCTTATTTCCTATCACAATCGTGTATTTATTTAATAACATATTTTATCTGTCATAAGTCTCGTCTCGAGAGTTTAGCGCCGTGTATGTGATTTAAAAATATAATAATGTTTTTTGTTAGAGAACTTTTATAAAAATATAGAAATTATCATCCTTTCTAAATGCGATGTAGGCCTATATACTGTGACTACAAATAAACAGAAACAGACTCGACTGAATAAGTAGGTAGGCTATGTTCATACCGCTGTATTTCTGTGTGACTAATTTTCAATCCTGATCAATTAATTCATTATGATCAATGTATCACTTATTATTGTAAAACATCGATACTTTTGGATTTAAATCTTTAACAAAGCATGCAAACAAACGGCCGCTTTTATCATGTTCGTTTTGTGATCGCGCTAGTTCCAATGACTTATTTCTGATTAGTTTTATGATAACTTCTCTTTGTTGGTGAAATGGTAGGGTTGCGTGACATTATTCCTGAGAGGTTTTAGTGAAGCGCAGCGGAGCTTCTGGCCCGACGGTGGAAACGCAGCGTGATTTTGGCTTCGGTGCTACAGGTCCGAGGCTATTAGCCCTGCCCGGCCCGTTTAAAGCACTGGCCCGACAGTGGAAAAGCGGCTAATGTGTACATCGTTTTAATCATGGTGTGGTTAATGATCTTCAGCCCTTTTAAAATGGCAGTTTATTTGGTTTTAGATAAAGTTAGGCATGTTTGAATAATGTTTGCACAAATACACTCATCCTCTCTTTGTCTGTTCTCCTCTTCTCACCATCAGTGAGGTGTCTAATGGATCCAGTGGCATGAAGCCAGCCAGTAGTATGGGAGGATCTATGCTGTCGCTGACCAATAAGACGTCTTCTCTCACCCTCTGCTCCGCCGACCAAGCAGCGAGTAGCTCAGACCTTCAAAAGAATGGTGTTGTTCACTCTTGCTCTTAAGAGTGTATTCACACTCACAGACACACATATACACACACACACACACACACACACACACACACACACACACAGACAACCTCTCCAGTAGTCAATATTCCTTCTCGGAGGGCTTTGAAATTGATCTCTTGACTAATTCGACCAGTTTCAAGAGACGCAAGATGTGTTTTTAATATTCAGACGGAGCTGAAATGAGGGACACGCATTCACACACACACACCTGCATGCTGCTACATGCATGCACCGACACAAACTTCTCTGTTGTTTTATTTAGAAAAATGAGCAGTATCTGCCGTGATATAAATTTTCTTTCTTTTTGTTCTGTGAATGAGCTTTTTGTTTTAATGACTTCTCATCGCCTGGAAACCAGGGCATCTGAATAATGCTTACTTTGTTGTTTTCCCTCTATATCAAGAAAGAACAGTCAACCCAAAGCTAGCACAGACAGGACGACGCAAACCAGTGGAATCAAAGCGAGAATCGAGCGCACTAATTTTAGCATCGGGGCTAGTTGGGGCCCTGTGGAAACGTTCAACTCCCTGGATCTCTGCAGCCTTGAATATGATCTGACTCACCAGGTTTAAAGTAGCATGGAGAACCTTTTATGAATCCATTTTTATGGACCGTTAACACGGGTCTCCCCACATGATGCTCGACCGTGGCAGTGTATCGCTGTAAGGCAGTTCGATCAGGCTCTGGATGACACAAGGGGGAAGAGAGATAGATCTATATATATATAATCAGTTGTCAGGTTTAATTTATGGTTTGGCTATATAACTGTTAAGGAATTTGTAAATGTGTGGTGACACGTGTCTAAAGCGTTCTGTTTTATAGAATGCAAACAGATGTCTTGAAAAATGAGCACTTTTTTCCATGAGTGTGTGCTTTTTAGTAGAAGAGGTGCAACACTTCGCTTCCCTTGTGTTCTTCAGAGCTCTGTGGTCGGGATGAGTTTGGTTTCTCCCAGCACCACAGTTGTTTCGTAAGATTACAGCCTATTAGGAAATTATTTCATCCGTTTTCCCTAACTTCTGTGAAGTTGCATATTTGGCTCTCCTGGTCGAGTTTGCATATTCGGGGTCTCGCCGCTAAATCGCTGCATAGAAGTACACCAGGGCAGTAGTTTCGACAACGCAGGGTCCCGTAACACTAATCGATCGCATTACAGGTTTGACACTCTGGGAAAAAAAATTGGTAAGGGATAGGGGAAAAAAAGGGAAATTCTTTCATGATTCAATTGCCCTCACGATGTTCAAAATTGATATTGACAAAAACAGTTGAAGCATTCGTCTTTTGTGTTCCACAGAAAAAAAAGTAAGTCACGACTTCAGGGGAAATAAAGGATGACATAATTCTTTTTTTGTTTTGTTTTTTTGGGGGGGTGAACTGTCCCTTTAAATAAAATCCAGAGAGGTGTTCATTATAGATGAGCTATTTAATGTCTTATAGGTTTCCTCTTTATAAACTCAAAATTAGACTTTTGAAAATATTCAATGCGTCTCATGAATTGAGGCCTGTCGAGTTTATCCTCCATCAGCCTGCTTTGACCTAAATGTGTTTTTACACACCATATTCAATGACTGTTTCCAAACGTGGCCCCGTAAACGAAGAGAACAAGATTATTTGAAGTCTGAAGTCTTCCTATAGTGATGACATTCTTCACGTGTGGCATTTTGTTCTAGTCTCTTGAGACCGACTATGATATACAGCTCCAATTTTGGGTGCAACCTCTTAACGTGTAATCTTTTGTGGTTTATGTGCTATAGCCGTGGTGATATAGTTGATTTCTCTTTTTTACGATGACTTGTAGTCATGGTCATTATTTGATGTTCTTGCTCGTCAAAGAGCACACGCAGCCTTTTCAAGCAGTCGCCGAGATTGAAATCGAGCTGTGCTGACACGCAGAGATGACGTCAACCTTACTGTCGAGGTTTAAACTTATCGCGTGATGTCCGTCGCACTCGCTGAGCAAGTTCTCTAGAACGTTGTCTTTCTCCATGCTAAGTTGTTACCTCCTCCCTCTCCTCGACGTGGAAATTGAATTCTCGTAGTGTTTTTATTTCATGCTATTGAAGATCCCGTGAACTAGTTAAGGTTTTGCCTGATCTGAGATGTGTTGTGTATGATTTAGCTGAGCTTCTTGCTTCCCTTCAGGTGAATCTGGCCTCTGATTGAATTTAGATCGTTCCACTTTCTCCTGTGGTTCAAGGCTGCTTTGTAGCCCAATAATTCAAGTGACATTCATAAAAACACGTCCAGGTCACATTTCAGCAAGAAATATAAAGGAAAGAAAATGTATAGGACCAATAATGTTTAAGCACATCTTTGTCCCTCAAATGCTCATAAATTCTTAATTCCCGTCGCATTATCATTACTTCAATATGGCATTTTTATAAATTATGCTTTACACAAGAAATTCTTTAATGCAATGACTATGAGGTATTCATTTACAATGCCAAAAAAGGAACTGTACTTTATTTTCAAGAAAGTGTCAATGCAATATAAATATATGAAGTAAAAATGAAAATGTAGGATTTCATCCCATAATAATAATATGACCTGGGCATGTTCTTGTGCGGTTTCATGAGATTCTCCCGGATGTATACTACACTTTCTAGATATTTCTCAGTTCTGTGGATTGTATGGGAATGTGCTATCTTGTATTTAATATTTGGCACTTGCTTGGGTGCTGTATTCTTTTTTTTTTTTCTTTTTTCTCTCCTCTAATGATCAGTGATCTCACTGAGCTAATTACTTCTGCGTGGATATTTTGTTTGTTTGTTTTACAAATTAGTGTCAACCATCCACACACAACAATTTATGGGAAACGACTCAGTAAGGCTCATTTACAGTTTTGTGCACGAGGTTATTTTTCCTCAAGTGAGAAATTGCAGGATAATGTGATTTTCTTTGAGAATGGGTCTGTTCCTGATGGATGATATTCATTTCTCTGACTGGATCGTGTCTGTTTTGAGCAGACCTGTTGAATTCATTTAAATGAAACGCAAATTAACTCATTTTCAACCTTATAACACTGTTATGGCTGTCTTTTTTGTCGTTTTGATTTATTCCTAACTTTTTTGGGAAATGTAATGGCTTTTTTATGATTACTTCCAAGTTGTCTTGTAAAATCTCTTAAATTAAGGTACAGGCTCAATTTCAACAAGGAAAGGTTTTATATATAAATATATATTATACTCCATTAAGGAATGTTTAGAACCATCTTACTCCAATGTGGATGTAGCCATTATTACGCCATTTTATGACTTTGTAAAAGAATTCACTGTGTGAAAATTGGTTTGCATTTTTGTATAATACAATCTGCTTTTTTGTTTGTTTAAAAGAAGAGAGGGAGGTGAAACTGGATGTTAAGAGTACAAGATTAAAAAAAAATAATTTAACAGAAACCTGTGATATTGAGAAGAAAATGTAACTTGTGTACAACAATGATTCTAAATGAGAGGGATGGAATAAACAATATTGGTAACACAGCTATAAAGATGTGTGCTGGCTCCAGTTCTTGCGATTTATTTCAGGTTCACCAGTGCAGTTTCTGAGAAACTCGAAACATACAGAGCCGTTTCTGCTTTAACCAACAATGACATATTTCAGCATAATAGAAAATTCATAGGGGAAATGAGAACATGTCATAACAGTTAATATAACATCCATTAAATGTCAACTTGATTGTGTTTACCTGTGGTTCTGTCACTGTTAACCTTGTCCGTCACGTCTGATGTTTGAGGATATGAAGTGTAACTAGCAGTTAGTTTGTACACAAAATTGCTCTCCCTACTAATTGTTACTATTAAGACCATAACAATTATTAGACTCAACACCACTGAATACCAGTTTCCAAAAGGCACATGTGTGACATCAGCAGCATGCAAATCACTGATTCCCTTGATTTCATTTTCTTAAGCTTTCCTTTCACAGTAAGTTCAGGACCTGTCACAATCCTAATAACAAACCTCTAGGATTTTGATCGCTAGGTTATCCTTTCCAGATTGGATAAGTGAGATGAATCAGCTTCTGATTGGTGTGTAAACCTCTAATTCGGTCCATGTCTTCTGCTGATAGTGTGAATCCAAAAACCTGTGAAGTAATTAAGAAGCTGAAAAATTAAATTTAAAAAACCCTGCAAATGAAACACTGAAACTGGTAGTTTAAAATTTTCTTTGAGATCATCCTTCATACTGTAACCTGTCAATATCCTGTACATAATTACTTTTGGATATAACACTATTTTTGATCATTTTGTTTTAAATCACAAACTAGAGCGACTGAGCCTCTGGCCGCTTTCCAAGCTCACCTGAACAGGTGGTCATTCCACATGAGTTGGGTCCCAGCTCACATGTCTCCCATCATGAAGCAAACTCAGCGCTGCCATGTCGGAATCATCCAAGCTGAACCCAAACACCTGAACAGCACAACATTATGAGTGCCTTTGTAAAAGAATTCACTGTGTGAAAATTGGTTTGCATTTTTGTATAATACAATCTGCTTTTTTGTTTGTTTAAAAGAAGAGAGGGAGGTGAAACTGGATGTTAAGAGTACAAGATTAAAAAAAAATAATTTAACAGAAACCTGTGATATTGAGAAGAAAATGTAACTTGTGTACAACAATGATTCTAAATGAGAGGGATGGAATAAACAATATTGGTAACACAGCTATAAAGATGTGTGCTGGCTCCAGTTCTTGCGATTTATTTCAGGTTCACCAGTGCAGTTTCTGAGAAACTCGAAACATACAGAGCCGTTTCTGCTTTAACCAACAATGACATATTTCAGCATGATAGAAAATTCATAGGGGAAATGAGAACATGTCATAACAGTTAATATAACATCCATTAAATGTCAACTTGATTGTGTTTACCTGTGGTTCTGTCACTGTTAAGCTTGTCCGTCACGTCTGATGTTTGAGGATATGAAGTGTAACTAGCAGTTAGTTTGTACACAAAATTGCTCTCCCTACTAATTGTTACTATTAAGACCATAACAATTATTAGACTCAACACCACTGAATACCAGTTTCCAAAAGGCACATGTGTGACATCAGCAGCATGCAAATCACTGATTCCCTTGATTTCATTTTCTTAAGCTTTCCTTTCACAGTAAGTTCAGGACCTGTCACAATCCTAATAACAAACCTCTAGGATTTTGATCGCTAGGTTATCCTTTCCAGATTGGATAAGTGAGATGAATCAGCTTCTGATTGGTGTGTAAACCTCTAATTCGGTCCATGTCTTCTGCTGATAGTGTGAATCCAAAAACCTGTGAAGTAATTAAGAAGCTGAAAAATTAAATTTAAAAAACCCTGCAAATGAAACACTGAAACTGGTAGTTTAAAATTTTCTTTGAGATCATCCTTCATACTGTAACCTGTCAATATCCTGTACATAATTACTTTTGGATATAACACTATTTTTGATCATTTTGTTTTAAATCACAAACTAGAGCGACTGAGCCTCTGGCCGCTTTCCAAG